ATATATATACACACACACACACACACACACACATATATATACATCTAAAATATATACATACATGCATACACACATATATATATATATATATATATATATATATATAAAATTCAAAGAGGATAGACTCAGGTAGAACTCAACGTCCAGGACAGAGTAAGAATATAATAAAGAAAAAAGCTTAAACACTTATATTCCATGGTTATAATTTATTACATTGGAATCGTAATTATGATCCAATTCATCAGACCTAATTGTAGGTAATTATGATTCCAATGTAATAAATTATAACCATGGAATATTAGTGTTTAAGCCTTTTTATTTTTTATTTATATTTTTATATATATATATAATATATATATATATATATATATATGCACGCACAACATATATGATAAAAAATTTAGTTTTAAGGTATGCTATATTTATGGATAAAAGTCTTCAATATCAAGGATAGAGCATATGAAATTATAAAATATAAACACTGAATGTTTCTTGCTTGACCGCAATCTTCAGATCATGAAGATTGCATTCAAGCATGAAACAAAATGCTGCTGTTAGGGGTTGATGTCAGTTCCTATTTATAAATTTCTTAAAAGCGAAAAAGTCTTAACTTTTAAAAAGTAAGAAGATTCAGGTTTGAATCCTGCTGATCATCTTTATTCAAGACTGAAAAAACTCAGGCTGGTAGACAAAAATATACTGTTTAGAAAACAGGAATGTCTGCTATGACATCTATGGACTAAAAGATAAAATGACATCTATGGACTAAAAGATAAAATGACATCTATGGACTAAAAGATAAAATGACATCTATGGACTAAAAGATAAAATGACATCTATGGACTAAAAGATAAAATGACATCTATGGACTAAAAGATAAAATGACATCTATGGACTAAAAGATAAAATGACATCTATGGACTAAAAGATAAAATGACATCTATGGACTAAAAGATAAAATGACATCTATGGACTAAAAGATAAAATGACATCTATGGACTAAAAGATAAAATGACATCTATGGACTAAAAGATAAAATGACATCTATGGACTAAAAGATAAAAACATCTATGGACTAAAAGATAAAAATGACATCTATGGACTAAAAGATAAAATGACATCTATGGACTAAAAGATAAAATGACATCTATGGACTAAAAGATAAAATGACATCTATGGACTAAAAGATAAAATGACATCTATGGACTAAAAGATAAAATGACATCTATGGACTAAAAGATAAAATGACATCTATGGACTAAAAGATAAAATGACATCTATGGACTAAAAGATAAAATGACATCTATGGACTAAAAGATAAAATGACATCTATGGACTAAAAGATAAAATGACATCTATGGACTAAAAAGATAAATGACATCTATGGACTAAAAGATAAAATGACATCTATGGACTAAAAGATAAAATGACATCTATGGACTAAAAGATAAAATGACATCTATGGACTAAAAGATAAAATGACATCTATGGACTAAAAGATAAAATGACATCTATGGACTAAAAGATAAAAATGAAAATGGACTAAAAAATAAAATGACATCTATGGACTAAAAGATAAAATGACATCTATGGACTAAAAGATAAAATGACATCTATGGACTAAAAGATAAAAAATGACATCTATGGACTAAAAGATAAAATGACATCTATGGACTAAAAAGATAAAATGACATCTATGGACTAAAAGATAAAAAAATAAAAGATAAAATGACATCTATGGACTAAAAAGATAAAATGACATCTATGGACTAAAAGATAAAATGACATCTATGGACTAAAAGATAAAATGACATCTATGGACTGGATAAAATGACATCTATGGACTAAAATAAAATGACATCTATGGACTAAAAGATAAAATGACATCTATGGACTAAAAGATAAAATGACATCTATGGACTAAAAGATAAAATGACATCTATGGACTAAAAGATAAAAAATGTCAGATTATGGATAAAAATCCATTACTCTTACTACATTGTTCTTTTTATTAAATTATATTTTTTCAGATAACTTTTAAAAAATTTTTTTGATATAAGCCGTCATAGTTATACCTGTTTGATAATTATTTTTATTGACTCCCTATTTGCTCTCAGGTGTTGTTGAGATTTCAACACAAGAATTTACTTTTTTTTTTTTTTTTTTATTTTTGGATTTTCATCATTTTTTCAAACTTTTCTTTTTGCATTCATTAATCCAAGTTACTGATGTTCTTATCAATTGATAAAAAAAAAAAAAAATATGTTAATTTATATTGATTGATTCATTCGTTCATTTTTTATGACTTATCAACCCTTTTCATGTTATTTAAAGCCAGAAAATATTTTTAGATTAAGAATATTTTTTTCTTTATTTTTTTCTAAGATAATGATTTACTGATAAGTCTTACTAATTAAACCCATAGCTGGGGGAAGGGGGGGTCGGCAAAGAGGATTCATACCTTTCCTAAGGTTATTAGCACATAAGTGAATGTAATGGATTTGACTGGAATTCAAACTCTGCTCTCTGATTCCTCAATCTGAGCCACTATCCAATTACTCCACTGTGCTTCCATTTGTGTGCATAAGTGAATATAGTGAATCCAATGAGAATTGGGACTTGGCTCTCCAATTAACACCACCCACACATCCATGCTTACAGCACCTTGTATTTACAAGCATTCACCCATCTAGGTACTGAACAGTCTCTATTGTGTTTCAACATGATATGGCCCTAAGATATATTCTGTTGAATTTATAGCTTAGGCTTTAGAAAAAAAAATGTGCAAACAAAAATACCTTAGAAAATTTCTCTTTGTATTTCATTCCTAACTTATTCTGTTAATTCAGTTTAAATCCATGAAGTACATAAGTTGAAAGTTTAAATTTAATGTCAGTATTTTTCATCTTGTTTGTTTACGTTTTTAGAGTTATAGAAATGCATATTCAATTTACTGATATTTAATCAGCAACATCAAAACTGGTGACTAAATGTTTATATCTGTGAAGTACAAAAGAAAGAAACTGGTTGAATTTGAACATAACTTTTCATTTGTTGTCAGCTGGTCTTTGATCAACCAATTTGCTTTCTTTACTAGCATCCTCCTAAAGGAAAAAAAAAAACAGACAATATATAATCTGCATGCTATGAAGAAGGCCTCACTGAAATAAATCTCATTCCTTTCAGAAACAGATCTTCGTTCATTGTGCAAAAGAATAGCAGCAGCATATTTTATATGTGGGGATAAAAGTGCAGGTCCTCCTGAAAAACACTGAGGAATAGGAGTTGAAATGTCATAATTATAAACAAAAATTATTAAGCTGGTCTCAAACAGAAAATCCCAAAATGTTAATTCATTTCAAATCTTCTAACACATTGAGTTTAGAAATTGCTGTATAACAAATGCCTTAAAATTGAATTTAACCTTTTGAACCTATTCTTTTTAATCACCAAAATGGATGACACTGTAACATATAAGCAGAATAAGGTTGTTCACATGAGCAACTTTGTACTGGCCATTTGCTGCTCTTCACTGCTGATTTTGTTCTGTTACATAAGCAATGTCCAGGGATAGTCAATTGGCAAATGGCCAAGTCTCCCAGGTTCAATGGGTTAAAGTCATTTTGCGATATTAGAATCTAATTTTTACTTTTTAATTCTTTGTTTAGTCTATGAAAAGCCGGTGCAGTTTGATATTTTAAGGGATCAAATGCTGATCTAAATATACTTGTAAAACCATTATTTTTAGTATGTGTCTTGACCTATTTAGGATGAGTATCATTAAATCTCTGATAATTTAATCTCTAGATACTATTTAGCCTGATTTATAAACCAAGGATTGCTGATGGCTGCCGTTGATAGACTGTTGTGGAAAAGAGTTAGTGTGGCTTCTGCATTCAGATCTGCCCTACAATTACAAAAGTCAAGGGGATGATAATGATAAACCAAGATCTCACAAACCTTAATCCCCCAACATTTTTTCTAAAATAATTTATTAATTATTCTATTTAATCAGTGTCTAATGCATTTTTCAGGTACAAAAGACAAGATTATATTTAAATAATTAATTTTATAATAAAATAAAAATGATAATACTAACAAATAATATATGTTAAATTATATATCAAATTTTACAGAACTTCTGCCAACAAGGTGATCAATATAAGACTAGAGCAATAATTATTATTAAATATAAGCAAAAATTTTCAATACTTATCAAATGTCACTTCAGTGTTTCACAATGTTTTAATCAATCATCAATGTAATCATTCTTGTCAAAGGTCCTGATGAGTGATTCCAATATTACGAAACGCTGTTAACACTCAATAAGTATTGAATGTATTTACTTACATTTTGATGGTATTTAACTTTTTATTAACATCATAGAAAAATACTAAAAGCTTATATTAAAAGTATTTTGATCATTTTTGTAATTTAATGTTATTCATAGTGTAAAATTTATTCAAATGGATAATAAATGTTAAAAATTAAGTTCATTTCAAAAATATTATTGTATAGCAAAAAAAAAAATAATAATTTATCTTCATAATTCATTATGATAATATGGTTTCTTTTTAGAAGGTTTACTTAAAAAAAATCATTGGCTTTTTTATTATTATTCTGAAACAACCATATTTTTCAAATAAATTTTTTTTTTTAAATTTGTCCAGTTTGAATTTCTAAAATATGAAAGAAATATATTTTTCTTGACTGACTGTATTTTATAAATTAGGGATTTATCATATATAACATTGATTTTTCTGGAGAAAACTCACAGAATTTATTTTTTTTATGTTCATGATAAAAATTCAGTTGTATCTTTTATTTTAAAAAAAAAAAACACTGATGTGTCTCTCTCTCTCTCTCTCTCTCTCTCTCTCTCTTTTCATATTTTTTTGTTTTTTGTTTTTATAAATACATTTCATTACAAGGTTCATCTTTTGATGCTGTAGATGTGCATTTAGAATTAATGGAGCGTTTTTCCTCTCCCTTTTTATTAGACATAGACTTTCACTTGACAATGAACTCCTCCGCAGCCTGTGCCGCCACCTCACCGCCAGCACCATCCCCTGTGGCCAGTGCTCACAACCAAATAAGTGACCTCCCTTCTCCCCAGTCATCACACAAGCAATCATTAAGTGGACAGATTCCTCCATCACAAAAAAAATCTGCCTCTGAACCAGAAGCCACAAGTCCTGCAGCTGGAAGCTCTTTGTCATTGGCGACATCTGTGATTCCTTTATTGAAGCTGACCACTGATGATAGTAACTTAAATCTCCACCAAAGTTCTACGGACATTGCCAGTGCACTGAGCAGTGGCAGTTCAACATTGACAGGCAGTTCGCTGCCAGAAAAACTCAACATGCTTGATGACAGTGGTCAAAGCGACAGGCCCATACAAGGTGAAGGATTCATTTCGAACCCTCTGGAATGTAGTAACACTGCTAAAGCCACTAACCCCTCTCTTGATTTCCAACCTGGGAATGCTCTTAAAACCTCACGCTCCAGGTCTGTTCCTCCTGCTCCAGTATCCAAAAGTTTCCACTCGGACGTATACAATACAGCTTTCGCTCTGCAGTCTTTGGGTGATGGAAATTGGTCTGACTATCTAACCAAAGTCAGGGCCATGTGGGATGACCAGTTTTTGACCAAGCAACCTTCGGCTTCCATGGACTCTAACAACTTGGGAGGTGTTAGCGGTGGGGTCACACGACGCAATGGTTCCAACTCAGCAGGTCAGAATTTTACAACTCGTAATCCTTCCAAAAACAAAAAAAAAATTAAAATAGTTACTTTTGCTGCAAGTACTATTTCTATGGAAATGTGACCAGTTATAGCCATTACCAGTTTTCTGGGTTAAAATGGGTTAATCTTTAAACTGTCAACTAAAAATATTTACCTTTCTACCTCTACGTCAAGGGTCCATGATGATAGAATCATCAATTATGATTTGTGCTACTCAAAATATTATTGTGACTGGGATGGGGCGGGGCATCTGAATTTTTCTGCCTGCCACCCCCTCTGCTTGCTTCCAAATGGAAACAGTTCGTTCCGCTTAGCTACTCTTCTGTTCGGTGCAGGACTAGTATTCAGTCAAGCATGAAGATTCTCTTGAAATCCACCTGCATGTCTGTTCTCTTGCCATATTTTCAATTTTTATTATACTCACCTTGATTATTTAATCCCACCTTGCATGTTGTGTCTGGGTGTTTTTGTTTTTTTTTTAATTTTGTTACCTACATATCACGCATATTCATTCTGTTGTACTTTTCATTTTTTTTTTTTTTTCTCCAACAAAACCGGTATGAAATATTAAATTCATAATTTATGATCTTGCTGACAGAGTGAATTCAATCTTCACTAAGTGCCCAACAGTTTTGGCCCAGTGCCAAACTAGAAAAAACTTATCTTTCAGAGATTGAAGTCTTTCACATCTTAAGATATTTTTATTCAAATTATAACTTTATAATGGCATGAGTAAAATTTATACACTAAATGTAAAATCATCAAAGATGGAAATTGATTGAAATCATTCATCAGGTTTATTTCTGAGCTCAAGATATTTTTATTTGAACATGAATTTCTCTCTAAAAGATTTTCTTTCATATGAATTTCTCTATAAGATTTTTGTTACATAATTTTTTTTCTTTTACAAAATTATTTTGTTTCAACTAAAAAAAAAAATAAATGTAATATTTTGACTCTTTGTGCTCCCCCACCCCAATGGATTAATTAAACTAGTAGGAATTTGATGATTTATTCCCAAAAGCACTTTCACTGCATAACTTATCACCCACTCCAGAGTAGTTGTTATTGAATGACCTGAAAATTTCCAGTTTATACATATATAGAGTATATAATGTATTTTTTTATTTTTTCTTCCTTCTTTTCTTTTAATAAAGTATAAAATTTTACACATTTTATCATAGACTAGATTGCTTCTTATCTAGGTACTGACAGTAATTCACTGAAAAAAGAGCATAGCTTGATGAAAAAGACACCCAAACTTGATAAGTTTTATTGTCAAAATGTTTATTATTAAGAGGAAAGACCAAAGTATTTTTTTAATTATTTTATTAATTTTTGAATCCTTTCTAAAGCACATTTGAAATTTTGGTTAAAAATCTTGTTTCTCTTGCACCAGTGAGGGCAACAAAGATTAGTATAGAAAATTTTAGCATCTTTTTCACAGTAAAAAAAAAAATTTAGTTGGGAATTCTTGCAAGAATCAAATAAATGTCTGATTTTAATGAAACTTTCAGGACATATTCAAATGAATTATTTTAGAAACTTTTAGGAAATTTTGGTAGAAATATTTTTTTTATTTTTTATATATCTGTTACTCTCCCCACTTAATGAAATTTTGGCCTTTTTCAGCTACTGTCAGGTTAAAAAATGCATTTCTGCAATATTTTAAACTTAAAGTAAATAATATTTGTCTCAAATCAGATTAATTATACTTTAAATACTTAAATACTTCTGAAATAAAGTTTCAGAAAAGTATATTTTATTTACACTATTTACATTGCTCGGAATATCGTCCTCATCTTTGTTGCCTTATTTATCACAATATTTCAGCCATTGTACATTCCAGCCTTCTTCAGGTGGTTGGAATGTCGAACTGAACCCTTTATTTCACTCGCTGGGGTAGACTGTTCTAGTTTCACATGCCATGTCTAATGGATGTCAGTTATCTCCTGTTAATTCTCCTCTCCAAGTTCTCCACTGCCTTAACCAGATATTGAACTCACACTCTTTGGGTCCTGTCACTGGATCTAACTAACATCTTTATCCACTGTGCCATGTATCATTGAGGACCTCAAGGACACATAGGTGTGAGTTCAATACCTGGTTAAGGCAGTGGAGAACTTTGAGAGGAGAATTAACAGGAGATAACTGACATCCATTAACCATGGCACATGGAAGTAGAACAGTCTACCCCAGTGAGCGAAATAAAGGGTTCAGTTCAACATTCTATCACTTCAAGAAGGCTGGAGTGTATAATGGCCGAAATGTTGTGATAAATGTGGCAACAAAGATGAGGATGATAGTCCAAGCAATGTAAATAGTGTACATAATACCTCATCTCAGAAATATAGACATATATTTTATTTGTTGAAGACTTTTTAATAAATAAAATTATATTGTGATGAAAGATGACTAAAAAAGGATGCTAATCAGCTATTTTAGCAAAGAAAAAAACTCATTCCAGTCAATTTAAATTAGTTTTGAAATACAGCAAAGTACTTTGCTTATTGGAAATATTAAGTTTAATACATTAGCTTGAAATTAAAATAAAAGCTTCAAAAACTTAATTTTTAAAAATTCATTATAAACCTCAGTTTTTTTTTGTGGGGGGGTTAGGTACCTACTTTTTATCAAATATTTATTGCCCAGTATTAACTGGAAGTTCTAACCAATATTTCCTCAAAATCTATCCATCTTTGTTTTATTTTAGTAATAACCCATGTCCCTTGAGGATGTAAGCAATCATGGCTCTCTATAGCTTCTTTTTTATTCTGCCATGTCTGTTTGGAAGTGGAGTGGTCTTCTTTTTGTCTTCTCCATGGTTTTGAATTCAGAGTTGTCTTTCTTTTAGATTGGTTGTCCAGTCTGCCTTACTATTTTACCCATAGCTGGAGGAAGAAAAGATGGATTCATGCCTTTTCAAAGAGCATTAGTATAAAGTGGACATAATAGCACCAGTTGTAATTTGAACTCTGCCAACTGATTACAGTTTTGTGTTGATAGCCATTACACCACAAATGCACCCCCGCTGTTCACATGAAATAAAAATTTAGATTTAAAAACTCATAAATGAAGCATTCCTCTCTTTACTAAAACTTAATTCTCTTCTTTCATCCTCTATTGAAAAAAAAAAACTGATTGAGAAAGGACTTTGGGCAAATTATTCTACACTCTGCTCATTTACCAATTAACTAACTTTATTGACGCTCGGTTAAACTTTATTTTATATATAATCAGAATTATGTTTATGTTACTATGTTGGTCAGCAACCATTTTTAAATGCTCAATCAACTGAGCATTTAATCAAAACAATATCACTTAAGTTATACACCTGATGCAGTGTACAAAATAATGACTGAATCTACATCTTAAGATATATTTAAAAAAAAATGATTCTTATTTGCAAGGGAACTATCAATACTAATTGTTACAAAGTGATTTCTGATTAAAATTATATTTTATATTGAAAACCAACAATTTTGTCCTTTATAAATTACATGTTTTATTTTATTTTTAGTTTGTCAGTGATGCACTAATTTTGTTGGTTTTTTTAATGATTGATATCTTTGTTTTAAAGTAATTTTATTATTTTTTTTCATTTGTTTTTTTAATTATTTATTTTCTTTTGTTTTTTTTTTTTTTTTTTTTTTTACAATTTGGCTGTGCTCTGTCCAAGCACCGATATCTTTTGCCTTTTTGCTACTGCTGCTGCTGCTTTCATTTCAATCAGCATGTTACAGTTACCTCCCCTGTGGACATTTCTGTGTGTCTCCCATTTTTTTTTTTTTTTTACCCCTCATTGTTCTACCAGGACTGTGCTGCCACCATCACCACCACTACACCAATCACTGTCACCATCTTCATCTTGAGTTTTTGTTAGATTTTATTTCTGTGGTTATATTCTGTAGCACTATCAGTTATCACATGTTTTTTTAATCATAAAGAAAATTATTTTATTTGTAGTCTCTATTTGCATTCTTACTTCCATTTAACAAGTTTTTACTTTAAGAGAAAATTTTTTACTTATTTTCTGAAATAATATATAAAATGAAACAGTAAACCTGAGAAATATTGATTTTCATACAATATGCAGTATTTAATTTCATGTTACTCTAAGCTAACAAACTAAATCACGTTAAATAGTTTTGAGATGATAATATATAAGATTTCTGATTGTACATCATAAAGACAGTTTTTTTATTACCGATTCTAAATCCTATTGAATAAAAACACTGTGTGTGTGAGAGAGAGAACTAAGTGAGTTAGTCCACAATATCCATATTTTAATTTGTTGTACAAAAAATGAGGGCTTCACTCTTCTTTTTGTTTTCTTTAGGTAAAGATATCTAAAAATACTTGACCATAGCAAAAATTGAGAAAGACTTTTGCTAAATTATTGCAAAAGAAAAAATTATATACATATATCATTTGCGGACAGTACTGTTTTGCTGTATCACGGCTCCTCAGTGCAACTAGATATCCAAATATTTTTTTTTTTTACTGTGATTAATAATAATAAAATAGTAAAGAAAAACCTCTATTTTATAATAATTGTTATATTTACATGCACACTCTATACACTAACTGTGATAAGTAAAAGATGAGTTACTTACCCTTCTAGTATTTGTATCTGTTAATTTATTCAGTGACAAGATTGCTTCTGTTTAGAATGGATGGAAAAGTTGTTTAATATATATATATATATATATATATATAGTTGCAGTATAAAATAGGCTTCCTAGAAAAAAAATTTGGCCTGACTAGAGGTTTTTTTTCTTTATTTTTGATTCATACTGCTTAAATCTTAGTATTAATTAATTAATTGCAATAAAGACCAACAGAAATAAAATCAAAGAAATAATAATTGAACAAGTTAATCATGGCTGATAATATTTCAATTTAATTTCATTGAAGAAATTTTAATATATATATATATATATATATATATATATACATATACTGTATAGTCTGTTACTATCTGTGTAAG